TTTGTGCGCTTATTCATCATGATAACGGTTGCGAAATTATCGGAAATGTTTGTGTAAATCAACTAATAATTATTAAATTAATGCTAAATTAAATTTAAATATTAATTATTTTAAGAGTTATTAGAATAATGAATATTTAAAAGTTACAAACGCAGTATGAAGGTATAGAATTTTTGGATAAATTAAGTGATATAAATAATAATTGTTTATATAGAGCTTTTGCGAGTAGTCGGTGTATAGTTATGCTGTTACATCCATAAATTAATATGATTCATGACACAATTTAATTATCATGCTACATGCTTGCTCGCTGCTGCAACGCAGCATTGCACTGAAACGAATCAGATGCGAAAGCCAAACATAACAGAATTTAACAGACATGCAACTTGTTAAAGTTGTATCCTAAGAAATGTCACATATACCATGCACACACATATACACACACACACACACACACACACACACACACACACACACACGCATACACGCACGCATACACGCACGCATACACGCATACACACATATTGACAATATATCTCAAAAACCATGGTAAATCCACATCTCGGAAATCACTTTTATAATCAGTTCTATGAAAGTCTAACGATCAATAAAGGAGTTAACGATATAATCATTTAATGTTTAGATTGCAAAGAATAGATTGCGATGTTATCTTGAACACATTTCAATATTGTTATATAATTTGCCGCAAAAATGACATATAATTTTGACATTTCATTATGCTTTTAATATATTCAATAAATTTACAAATGCGATATTATTTGCGATATAATCGCAGAACAATCACATACTATTTTTGTCATAAAATGTAAATTTATGTAAATAGTCACAATGATAAATATCATTGTATAGACAATAATACATTTGTTAGATTAGATTCTCAGAATAATGCAATATCTTGTTCTTTTTTCACAAGAACTCTTTCGCTGGAGTGCATATAACTAAGAAAAACTCAACTAAGTTTCTTGAGATGATACTCTATATTTCCTGGCAGATGATTCTCTGCGCGTACGCTGGGAAATCGAGATGCAGCGGTTCAGCGTAGTACAGTCCCGCGACTGAATGCGCAAAGTGTAGCTGGTTGTAACACCGAGAGTGTCGCCGTCATCATCGTCGTCGTCGTCGTCGTCGTCGTCGTCGTCGTCGTCGTCGTCGTCGTCGTCGAGGGCGTAAGTATCCACGAGCATGACACGAGACGAGATGTTGGACGTCAGGCAAGACCGACAAACCGCATCAATCATATTCACTCACTCGCTCACTCGCATCGTCATACGTTCTCCCTGGAGCACCGACGATGTCCCAGGGCCGCTCCATCTTCGGAAGAAAATTGCTTACTCTCATACTCTACGAATACGGTTCCCGGTAGCGACGCGGGTGTGCGAAAAGCTGTATGACATCCCCGACCTGCGAAAAAAAAGAGAAAAAAAACGACAGTCAAGAGAAGTAGGAGGATACAAGAATAAGAGCGTGACGGTGAAATTACGAGGCCATGAAGATGAAATCGACTGCGTGAGAACCGTTTCATCGTTTCATGTGGTTAAGAGAGAGAGAGAGAGAGAGAGAGAGAGAGAGAGAGAGAGAGAGAGAGAGAGACATTTTAACTAAATAGTAGATGATTATTGATACTTGTTATTTATAATATTAGATATAATTATTTATCAAAACTTTATACGTTCATAGATTGTAGAAGAAATTTAATTTCATTTTTTTAACATGATAATATAAATTTTAATATAATAAAATGAATATAAAATAAAAAAATATGTTATTTCTTTCTACCTTCAAATTATTGTCAAAATTGTCAACTGCTACTGTTATGCATTGAAATCGTCTTTCAGAATATGTGTATATGACAATTATTCATAATAGTTTGAGAGTAATTACTGATTACTGATTAAAAAAGCATTTTAACATCATCTACT